GCAGTGTCACTGGCCCTCATATGTGGGATCCGTACCGGGGCCCTCTGGCGTCCCAAGCGAGTTCTTAACCATCGCGCCACTCGGCCGGCCCCATAATTGGTTTAAATAGCAGAACTGGCATTCAAACCCATGTCTGAGTGCAAAGTCAGTGCTTTTATGACTGCATTAGACTGGCATTCCTTTGCCTGTATAAGCATAGTCATTAGACTGGCATTCCTTTGCCTGTATAAGCATAGTCATAAAATTATGTCATAAAATTTTTATGACATAAGGAATCTGATGTTTTCATATAGCTCAAGGTAGTAAATTTACTCTAACTTGCAAAATCTAATTTGATTGCTTCTTCACTTTCAAAAATGAATCCAGTAACTATATATAAATTAATTTTAAGTAATTAGTATGTGTAGGTTACCTAAAGGTGTACCCACAAGCTTCTCAAAAAAAAGAATTGGTGTTATGAGATTATAGTATCCAAAAGGAATGTTTTCCCCATTGATATTTTACAGCTTGATATTTTTACCTTTCTCATGTTGATTATTATATTTATGTTCATTGTTTTATGGTGTTTATATAGAATTTTGAGATTGTAATTGGAATTATTTTGGTCTTGTAATAAGTGCTCTTCAATGTTCCAATTGAAATCTATGATATACACAAAAGCAAAGAGATTTGAATGTTAACCAGGAGAAAAAACTTAATCATCAAATTAACATTTTAAAGTTACTTTAAAGTCCCAAACATTTTAAAGTCTCAAAGGAAAAAATGGAGGAAAATGTATTTTATGTTGCGAACAATGATTTATTGGGGAGATTGTGGAGCTGACCTACATATTAACATTAACACAGCATCTTTATATAGATCTGCTTAACATTATGACTATCACCAAAGTTGCTTATAGGTTATTATCAAGAGTAGTTTTTTAAGTCTTAGTAGTGCTTTTCATATTAAAAGTTTTCTTCATCCTGGAATTTGTGCATGTATAACATAAGCTATATTATGATCCTCTCTCCTAATCTAAACGTTTCTTTTATTTTTGTTTTTTTGAGAATTTTCACAAGAGTTTATTTGAACAAAACTGATTACATGCTGGGGAGTAAGATCTTATATGCTCCCTCTAAATGTTTCTTAAGCGACTGGATTTTAATTAAGCTATACTACATGACAGTTTGGGCTGCCTTTATATCTCTGAAAAGAAAGTTTGAACAGAGCACATCTTCTTCAGTCACAATGTGCTGGTGTCTCAGTTGTCACTGATCAATGCACTTGTCCCCAAATGCCACACTGATACCGACAGCATAAGAATCACCACAGAGCTTGTTCACAATACAGATTCCCTGGCCCCTCTGGGTCAGATTTATTGGGTCTGAGACTTTGCCCATAAATCTGTATTTCACGAGCTCTACAGGCGATTCAGGTACACAAATTAGGTTTGGGAACTACTGGTTCAGTGTACTTTTAATAAGGAACAAAATGTAAATTTTAAAAAAATCCTGGAAATACAAATATTAAAGTAGGGAAAAGAAAGATTCTGCATGTCATGAAAGTTATCAGATTTGAAGACTTGAGGTTTTTTGGTTTTTTGTAGGCTGGGATCACTATGGAAGCAACTTAGCATTGCGGGCAGGTGAGATCCTTAAGATTTCTCTCTTTATGCCCTGGCTTTTCTCCACCAAGGGACAGTTTCATGACTCTTTTGTTACTTTTTAAAATAGTATCACAAATATTTCTAAAGCTCTTAGCATATGTTACTCTTGGCCTTTGTAGGCCAGATAGCATAATGATAAGCTGACTTCTGTATACTGTTCACAGTCCTAGGAGGGACTTCTGAGGTTCAGTGTTGTAAGCAAGATTAATCATAAGTTACATGTGTGTCCCTCTGCCAAAGCAAACAAAGCCAAGAAGGGCAACACAAGGTCTTAAATTTCAAGGCATTGATGGTACCATTTTACTAAACAATTTTCCATGATTTTTAACAGCTAATATAATGCCTCCATCATCTCATCTCTTTGGCTCAATGCCATGGGGACCGCCAGTGCCAGTTCCTGGAAAGCCCTTCCATCATCACACTTCATATTCCGGGACCATGCCCATGGCTGGAGGGATGGCAGCTGGTGTACACAACCAGTTCATACCTCTACAGGTGAGACCTGGAAAAGAGAATTATTAGATTTGTAAGAGAATTAATTGTTTAATGTTCAAAGACTGTTGATAAAACTCTGTTTATTCAGTAATTATTTATTCAGTGCCAACCAGAAGCCCAGTACAGGTCTGGGTGCTGAGATTATATATTATGACCAGTGGCGACCAGTCTGACCTGGTCCCTGCTGTCTGAGTTTGTGTTCTAATAAATAATAATAATTGGAGCAAGTAATAATATCCTTTACTAGCACAAAGTGATTTAAAATCAGGAATGTAAATTTTCTTTATATTTAAGTTATGGAAAATTTTTTAAATTTTATTCATAACTAAATTCCTTTAATTTCTAAAGTCTGGTTTGGAGATTATAAGTGGAAGTCACAGGTCAATAGTGATTGACAAATATGTGCAACATGGTTTATGGTATTTTTTTGGTACTCGTTTTTTTGTTTTTTGTTTTTTGTTTTTGTCTACATTGTTTATTAATGATTCTTTTATTCCTTAAAGGTTACTAAAAAAAGGGTTGCAAACAAAAAGAACTTTGAAAATAAGGAGGCCCAAAGTTCTCAAGCCACCCCTCTTCAGACTATCCAGCCAGGGTCTTCCGATGTCACCAAAGTGATTCTACAGGAGAACTCATCAGCTTCCCTAAAGTCCTCTCAGATTCCTCAACCTGCACCTTCTTCTCAAGTTGAAGCTGCCTCCCAAGGCCATAGTACATCTCACCATAAGTCAACAGCAAGCTCTTCTTCAAGAAGAAAATCAAGAAAACTGGCTGTCAATTTTGGCGTTTCTAAACCTCCTGAATAAATTTGGTACTTGGAATTAAATTAATTTCTTTCCACCCACCTTTTTATAAATCCATATCTGTGTCATTAAAAAATTAGAATATGCTATTTTAAAATAATGTGTTTCAATTGAAAATTTTTAAGTTGTCAGGCACTTTTCATGCTGTTAAATGACTATCAAAATGTGCATCTCAAATATGTGCAGTTTGTTTCATGTCAATTATCCCTCAGTAAAGCTGTTTTAAAAAGACTAAATTAAACCTTCTGTTAAAATAATGCCAGTGGACTGAGCAGTGAAATGTACCACTCTAACTACTGGCCTTATCATTAGAAGCATCCTGAACTATGAATTAGACATATTATAATAATAAACATTTTTTACACTGTCATTGAGGGATAATTACATGGAGCATGAAAATTGGGCCTCAAGTATAATTTACTGAATGTGGGTTTTATTTTTTTCTTTAATTATGTCTCAGAATTGTCAAGATAATGCCTCTTATTTATAGTAGTTTACCTTCGGTTCTGTTGTCTGTGAAGGTCCTTTAGACCTGCTGTGAAATGATCACACCTGTGGTGGTGCTGCCAGTTTTGCTTTATTCTAAATTTTGTACCAAAGCAACTTTAGAAAACTGATCAGAATATTTCATTTAACCACTTAGAACTATAAATAGCAATCTAAATTTGAGTAACTAATTACAATTTTTTAGACCATTCAAGAACCAGCATTTGTAACTTCTAATAAAATTAAGTTTCAAAATCTACAGGGTACAATGATTACAAATTAATCTCTTAACAGAATAAAGTACAAAATAGTAATCATGTTGTTAATTAAAATAAATTGCGTTATTTTTTTGTATAGCTTTTTACCTGCTTACTTAAACATATATGAGGTCTCCATTGTTCGTCCATGTGTAGTGCTTCCTGGGACTGATGAAATTCTGATTTTTTAAAAATTCCAAGGTGTGCTATAATATGGGCACAATCACTTTGTGATGTATGTTATTTACATGACAAAAGCCTCTCATTCTGTTTCCTTATTTTGAGCTTTATACTGAACTGTTCAGTGACTGGCATTCTGTGTTTGCATGTCATGTGTGGGTGTGTATTGTACAAGCTGTGGCTGTTGAAATTATTTTAGAATTTATGAAAATTTATCAATGGTACCAGGGCCTGAGTTTTTATATATATATTTATCCTTTAGTTTTTGTGATATGCTTATATTTTTAAGAAAGTAAGTTATACTTTTTAAAAAGTAGGAACCACAATTTTTATATGGAGCTGCTGCTTCTTATATCTAATTTCATTTAGCTCATTGAAAACTCTGCCATGAGTCTTAGTCTATTTGTTTTTTTAAATGCTGGTATTGAACTAAATGGATCCCTTTAACTGCTGATGTGAGAATGTTGATGGGACATTTGTATATTAGTAGTGCCTTTAGTGTAAGAGATAAATGTTCATTATCTGTCATTTGTTGTAGTCATTTGAGTTTCTGTGATTTTATTTTCTGTTGATTTCCTAGATTCAGATGTTCATTGGTTTCCACCATTTCCTTGTTGGGAATGTTTGTTTATCTGTAGTGGGATCTTGAGTAATGAAGCTCAGGTAATTCTCAGTGTTTGTCCTTATAGCCTCACAAACTCTTTATTTGTTTTAAAAGGAAATATCTATTATGGGAATACAATACAAAAAAGTTAAATTGTGACAGTAATATTCTGTTAACCTCTTCTTTAAAGTGTGTAATATTTTTCACCTTACGTAACTGTACAAACCCCAGCATTCAAGAATTGCCTCACTCATCACTCCTGTGTAACTGCTCTGTACAGAGTGTACAGCCCACATCTTTTTTAGGTCACAGAGGAAGGAACACATGCCATCTTCTGAAAACTCCAAGAGAAATCTCAGTAAGCTGAGTGCCACTGAACCCATAGGGTATGTCACCAGTATTTGAGCAAAGCAAGGTGACAGTTCGACATGGATAGGCAGTAAAAGTGTTTTTCTTTTCACTCCTTCTCTTTTTTAAAAACCTATTATTCTAAAGGTCAAACTTGAGGAGAGATTAAAACAGAAGACAACTCTGTGATGACTAGATACTGGTAGGCATTCATGTAGACTCTTCTCCTTGTAGATCTAGGCCCAACATGGGCCTGCAGTCAATAGGAGGCAGAGGCTGTTTTCGTGATAATCCCCGGGAGACTGGACAGGAATATTTGGGGAAACTTACAATGTTTTTCTTTCGGATGGGACAGACTCAACCACCCCAAAGTTTAGAAACGTCTATCTAACTGTTGATTCTGCAGTGGACTGTCTGTGAAAACGGTGGACGTGTAGGCACAGAACAGCATATCTCCCAAACTGCTTCATGTTTCCACATGTCCAGAGCAGTTCAACCTAAATATCCTTGTTCAATAAATTTTTTCTTTGCTTTTTGGAGCACATTAATGAATTTTAATGATTGATCCTCTAGTTCCATTGTTTCTTTTCACAATTTCCTACATTTCCTGAGTTTTATAATATGATAGATAGAGTGTATTAATTGATTTAAACATTGGGTAGACCAAAGTCTTAAACATCTGAGACTCAGTTGCATGAAAAATTTATTTCACCTGTCTGTACCTTGGTTTCAATTTAAGACTTTTCCTGTTTTTCAGAGGGAACAGTAGTTCTTTGAGAACTAACAAGATAAAGAGATATTTTTTTTCTCTATTGGTGGGAGGGATGAAAAACTTGTGATGGAGATTTGTTGTTGTTTATTTCCTTTTCTCTGATCAGGTATTTGCTTTGGTTTTAGACTGATATTTTCAAACCAATCTAGATTCTTGGTTTTAAGGGGTGGGGGCAGAGAGAAGGTAGTTGGAAGAAGGAAACCAGTTAAATTCAACATATCTAATCACTGCATTTCAGACTGTAACCTATTTTTCTAGCTCAAGGAAATAGATAACCTTTCAGGGTCTAATTTATTCACTCATTTTTAAATCATCTGTTCTATTTGTATTAATAAACCATACATTTTCATAGTGATTGTCTAATTTTTATCTTAAGATAAATAGAACTGTCCAGCTCTCCACTGAAGTTTGTGCTAACATGCTTCTTCTCATTGTTAAGAGCAATTTTTTAAAACAACTGTACAATATCCTAGCTTTTTGAGCTTGCTGTATTTCTTAGTACCATCTAGCTTCCAAATTGTGCTATTATTGTGGAAGAGAATTAATTTATTTGAGAGAAATGACCATGACAGGCATTCTCTACCTTTAAAAGAAATGAATCAGAGAAGGTCCCTTATCATTTTTTTAGATATAATGATAGTACTGAAACAGGCAGTGATCTTTATGTACATTTTGTAAGCTTTGCCAGTGAAACAGTCTTTTTTGAAGGAACTTCCTTTCCTACTCAGTATAAAGCTTAAAATTATAGAAATGAATATTTTCCAGACTGATCTGGTTCATATTTCGGTCAGACTTCACGTGTTGAAACAGACAGCCAGCAGAGCAAAGCGACAGGCAGGTGGAAATTTCACTGTTCATACTGAGTTAACAGCTCAAACATCACAGATGCTCCTTTTAGAGAGAGAAAAAAAGTGTATGAAATAGCTTTAGTAGTTAAAAACATCAGCAACTCAGAGCTGCGCGCGCGCGTGCGCGTATGTGTGTGTGTGTATGTGTGAGTGATCCAGCAGTAACACCTTGCTCAGTCAGTGCGTTCAGCCATCTCAAGTGCAATTCGTGATGGAGACCCTGTTTCCAGCAGATAAAGTTTTACATAGTTAAACCTGTAAAAATTAATTTTTTCCCACAGTACATTCATTGCTATTGATTATTTCAGCAATTGGTGTATTATTAAATTGCCCACGCCAAATAGTTAAGTTTCTGTAGATGTTTTAGTAATTCAAAGCCAAATTCTTCCAATTCTTCTACCATTTTTTTTTCTTTAAGCTGAGCCATCCTGCCACCCGTTGGCAGCTCAGCAGCAACTCAGCTCGGGCTGGGACTTGAACCTCTGTTGCTCAGAGCTCGCACTCTTGAGTGAGCTCTTAACCAACTGAGCCACTCGGCCGGCCCCTTCTTCTACCATTTTTAATGAAATCATAGGAGTAGGAATTTGATCTACAGTGCTTTAAGTTCTTTTATTCCTTTCTTCCCCTTAAAGTTAAGGGGCTTCTTTTGTTTGGTTTGGGCCTTCCTTTCTTTTTTCTTTTTCTTTTTTTGCCTCAAGTCTCTTACATTTTCTTTTGCCCAGTTGCTTCTTTGAATGTTTTCATATTATTTCAGTATATGAGTAATAGTGTGCTGTATCATTAAAGTGTTCAACATTTTGTTCATTTAAACAATACAATTAAGTATAATTCATACATACATATCTTAATTCATTTCTTTTCTCACATAGCTATTTTATAAGTAACTAGAATTTTTCATTAGATCTTATACAGAACAGTATTTTATTAAAAATTCAAAAGGGAAGACTTTTGTGCTCATTTTGTAATTTTTGTTTTTTAAATATCTTTACATTATCTGCAATTAAAGTGTTTTAAACTTGCATTGGAATGAAATTCGAATGTATTTTTGTGCTGTTACGTTGTTCATTTGTAAATTTCTAGCATGAAGTTAGCCTCAAAATGTTGTGCAAAACGATTTTAAAATATGAGTCACTGAAAGAGTTTAAACATTGTACATGTTAAATACTATATGGATTTTAATTAAACTCTTGAGAATGATTTCATAAGCTGTTTGTTCTTGTATGTTTGCATTAGTATCAAAAGTAGAAACATTACGATATTCACTTAAATCCCATATCATTTTATATATTTATTTTTCAATCTATGTCATTTAACATAAACTAGACAGCATGGTTGGTAGAAACAGTCTGAACTGTAGATTCAAATACCCACTCTTCCCCACTCCCAGCCCTACTGCTTGCTAGTTGTAAATAGGTCATTATCGTATTAGCATTGACAGGTTATGTAAGAATCTAAGTCCCAGTTTCTTCATCTCCTAAAGAAAGAAAACAATACCCCTCATCTTGTTAGTATATATGAAGCACTAGGTACATAGGTGTATTGCAGATGTTAGTAGATGAGGGTTTGTCACATTATATGCAGATCTGTTACCTGGGTCCCAAACACAGATGACTGGATGGTGGCAAATACCTCTATGCTTCTTCCTCTGAGTCACTCGCCAGCCTCCAGTTCATAGGGGTCCCCATACTTCCCTTGGGCATGTGCGAGGCTCCTCTGTTTCTGTTCTTCCTTTTCCGTGCCATGATCCCCTCTATCTTTTCTGCTGTGCAGGGAAAGGTTCTTACAGAGCTGTAAAGTAAGACACTTCAATGCCTACTTATAAGATGGAAAAATACAAGACTAATATCTGGCTAATACCACATCTCACAATATAACTCTGATGCATAATTTTACCAAAATCTCTTTGGTAGGGGCAGGAAGGAGTTGGGAAGGAGGGGTCGAGGTAGGAAGAAACCTTCCTGCTGTAGCTGCTCCCAGCTCTGCCCCATAAACCTGAGACAGTCTGTACTATTGTACTTTACTCAGAACCCCAAGAAGTCACATTCCATGTGTGTTTGGCCACCTAGATCCAGCTCGAGACATGCAGTCCAGAATACTAGTGGATTCCTACCCACTTTTCCACCTCATTCCCCAGATGGCCCACTCTCCACACACAGGTTCTCAGTAACTACCCCTCTATACCCTAACTCTAGCATTAATGGGCTCCCCCCATCTTGGTGCCACTTTTTTTACTTGAGAACCAAAATTAAAACCTAAACCCACTCAAGTTAACTTAAGAAAAGGAAATTTGTTTTAAGAATATGGAGCAATCTCAGAAAATCCAATCCAGGAAGTACAATCAGGCTTCTAAGAGACAGAACCTTAGGATGTTACCTTCCAGTTAACTGTCTCCCCCAGTGGGGCCATAGGGTCTTTGGTATCTGTGAATCTCTGTAGAACAGGCCTCTGCTCATTTATCTGTAGTATGGGCAGGTGGGCAGGTCCCCTTGAGGGGCTGCCCCTACTGGGCTATGGGTGGATAAGGAAATGCTGATCTGTTAAAGGCAGACTCTTAAGCAGCAACCACATTCTGGGCCAGCAGCCGGTCCTTATAGTTCTATACAAGTAAAGGCCCGAGAAACAGTTTTGCCCTAACAGTAACCAGAGTTCTGTGATGTGCCTGCAAACAAATCTCATAAAAGAGTAGTCCCAGTTAAACTCCTTCACCTTGGAAAATGGTTGTCTTCAGAATTTTCCAGTGCTGTATGGAGTCACTGACTCCTACAGTGGTAGAAGTCTTAGCCATGTCTCACTTGAGTTCCTAAATACAGGACCAATGGATAAGTACACCTACTGATTATGAAGTGCTTAAGTATTTAATACCCCAGGCCGATGTTCTAAATGGTTGGCATAGATTATCTCCTTCAATCCTCATCATAACCCTATCATGTGGGCAGGTTTCACCTATGCAGTCATCTGACTCCAAATCCTACTCTCTTAACTACTTTGCTATACTATAATGTTTAGGTTTTATAGTTTAGTTTTTACATCAACCCTGTGTAGTTAGTTTTATTATGAATGTATTCTTTCATTCATTCAATTTGCTATTTTTTCGTTTCTTCTAAGGGCATAACACAAGCATAGAGGTTACAAATATGAGTAAGACCATCTTGACATCCATAAAGTCTAGCAGAGGAAGGATGAGTAACCACCAGGCAAAGCACCAGTATATCGAGCCCATAGGAAAGGGGTACCTCACAGTCTGGGAAGGTATCAAGGTCTCTTTTTTGGAGGAGATGAGACTTTAAAAGACCCAAGTGAGGAAAGGCAGTTCAGCAGAGCTGAATTACTTACGGTGCAGATTAAGAGAGGTCAGAGGTAAAATGGAAGTGATGGTAGGCTCCAGATCATAAAGAACATTTATCTACCTGAAAAATTTGAAAACATTTATACCTAAAGCTATATGTACCCCTATGTTCATTGCAGCATTATTTACAGTGGCCAAGACGTGGAAACAACAAAAATGTCCTCTGATGGATGATTGGATAAAGAAGATGTGGTACATATATACAATGGAATACTACTCTTCCATAAGAAAAGATGAAATAGTGCCATTTGAGACAACATGAACGGATCCTGAAATTATCAAACAAAATAAGTGAGACAGAAAACTACAAGAACCATATGATTTCACTTATATGTGGTATATAAAAGAGAAAACAACAAACAAACAAAAAACCTCATAGACACACAACAGTTTAGTGGTTACCAGAGGGAAGGAGGGTGGGGGAAAGTTGAAGAGGGTAAAGGGGGTCAAATATATGGTGATGGAAAAAGAACTGACTCTGGGTGATGAACACACAATGCAATATGCAGATGATGTATTATAGAATTTTACACTTGAAATTTATATCTTATTAACCAATGATACCCCCAATAAATTTAATAAAAGAACATTGTAGATCATTCAAGTATTTGAATTTCATAATTTCATTCTAAAGGCTGTCTTCCTCAAAGCTCTTTTTTTTTGTCTGTAATAAAATCCCACTTAAATTAGCTCAAGAACAAATTAAATGAGGGTGGGGGGGGTAGAAGATATATCATATAGATACAGGAAAATTGCCTAGAATCCAAGATCAAGAACACAGCTGGGCCTCAAAGGGGCTTGGACAAAGAACAAGAAAGCTATTGGAAACACAGATATCTACTTCTCTAGTATCACCTCTGCCTTTCTATTTAACACTCATAATTTCCATATTCCAGTTGTACGTTGCTTCAGTTCCAGCAACTAGCCTAGCACTAGTGTTTGTCCATCTCAACTCCAAATGGGTTAAGTTCATGTCAGATGTCCAACTCTGCTAGGCGAGTAAAGTCAGCTGATACAAACATGGCTGCTGTGGCCCATTCATGTGGAGTGGTATTCTTAGAGAAAGAAGGTCAGGATGTGAAGATATCCTCAAAATGCTCTTCTAGTAGGAACTAGTGCATGATTTTAAGAAGGGGGTTATTTGATTTCACAATGAAAATGTGGCATTGTAGAGAATAGATACGAAGGAGTGGAAATCATAAACAAACAGAAAGCTGTTTTAGTAATCCAAGTAAGAATGATGCAGCTGCACTAAGTCTTAGAAGCTCTGATATTGTTCAATATGTTGGATATCAAAGTGAAACAAAAAATGTGCAATCAGGGTTTCCAGGATCACCTACTAAGGCTGACCCATTAATATTTTATCAGAGATCCTCTCTGCTTATTGTACTTCATGGAGTGTTTGATTGGAAACAGCACAAGAGTTCCAAGCCTTCCTGAGAATCTTTTTCCACATTCTCTCATATATGAGGTCTGATAATTAAGTTTGTGGACTAGCCACCATGTGTCTACATTGGCAGCACTGTACAAACAGCTCAGGAAGGTTTCATAACCTTGGTATATTAGAGTCTCACAGCTGTGTTCATGTTTATGTGTGGCGGTGTCTTGCTGAGTGGTGTTCATTATTGTTGTTGCGTGTTTTTGTATGCCATCACAAGAATGTCTGAGCTTGAATTAGAGCAACAAACAAACATTAAATTTCTTGTTAAACTTGGCAAGGGTGGAGGTGAAATCAGGGACGTGTTAGTCCAAGTTTATGGGGATAATGCCACGATGAAAATAGCAATGTACAAATGGATTAAACGTTTTTCTGAGGGGAGAGAACGCATCACTGATGAAGAGAGGTCAGGGAAACCAGTAACGAGCAGAACTGACAAAAACATTGCAATAATTTGTCAAATTGTGTGTCAAAATTGTTGGTTGACTGAGAGAAGCATAGAAGACCAAGTAAACATTGATAACGAAACAGGAAAAGCTTAACCGAAAATCTTGGCATGAGAAAGGTGTGTGCAAAAATGGTCCCAAAGGAGCTCACCGATGAACAAAAGCAAAGGAGATTCGAAGTTTGTCAAGACCTTTTGGAGAGGGAAGACGATGTTTTGAGCCATGTTATCTCTGGTGTTGAAAC